AATGATCAATAATAATTATATTTATATATAATATAAGTATTATATAATTATATATTATATTATATATTATATAATTATTACATATGACTGCAATATTCAAATTTTATTTTGTCGTTAAAGTATTTTATATTTTTTCAAAAGTCGCACGTGAAGATTGTGACAGGTAGCGATGATATAATATTTAATTATATATAATATTATAAACCGAACCGAAAATACCATTCTTCAAATATGACAATAAATATCTTATATTTTTTTAAACAATCCCAAAAATGGGGATTCCAACAAATTGCGCGAACAGAAAAGAAATAGAAATCATTTGTTTTTATCGCATGAAAAATGAACGATGGATTGAGTGACGCACAGTCACCATAACCTCTAACTGCCACAATTCTGCACGGCGTTCAATCATAAATTCTTCGAACACGATAATCCCGTTATTTTACGAACTTACAGACGATTTCCAAAATGCCCACTAGTTAAAAAAAAAAAAACACAAAATCCGCGCACCGTCCGCTACAAACAACATAACCTCGACACGTATAAAAAGCGCACCTGACACACTCTTCGCGGCGATCGGCGCACGTAAAATTCGCAGCGATCTTCGCGACAGTCGACAGGTTAAGTAAACCGAAGAAAAATCTTTCCAGCGTTGTAACGACGTCGAGCACAAAGGGTTAAACGTTGCAATCACAATCGGCCGAATTTCTCGCGGATCGCTCATTTGGTTGCGACGACGAAGCACGTGGTCACTTTCGCAGGATTAAAAAGAACGCGTCAATTCCACGCGCTTCGGAGAACGACCGGACGCGAGGACGACAAGTGCGACGCGCGCGCGTCGCAGCGGGCCGTTTCGGCGGGACGAGGTTCCTCCGCCAGCGGACTCTGGCGGCTCCGCCGGATCCTAATGTCCGCCTAATCCCCGACGAATGTCGCCATCGCTCATACAAGCCGGGGCTGAAGCGTGCACGGGCCGACCCCGACTACTGGTAACCGTAAATAACGTATGCGTTGTGTCTCTTATTCCGAGGAGCTAGGTACGGGCGTTTATGCTACGAGAATCAGGGTGGTGGGGGGCGTAGGGGGGTGTCAGGTGGAGGAGAGGGGCGCGGGGTTGCCGGGTCCGCGAAAAGAAAAACAGCCGCGGTGCGCGGCCACCGCGTTTTCTGGAAGTGTACGAGCTCTGCCTTGTCGCGCGTAACGCGATACGCGAAAAGAGAAAAAAATGCTAACATGTCTTTTGCTATTTCACCGGGAGGCGACCGTCCGCCTCGAGTCGAGGCGAAACTATCGATCGCCACGGTCAAGAAAACTACGACATTCCTCTTCGAAACGCTCGGCGGGTCCGCTTCGATCTTCGACGATCTGGCGCGACGCGATCCAATTCTTGTTTAGTACTTACACTCGCCGCCGACCAGTGTTGCCAAGCTGCCAGCTGGAACGCGACGTTGCCAGCGCTCGAATCGCGCGACGAGGCGAAGAATAGCGAGTGGGGGACGAGCTTAGAGCGTATGGCAGCGTGTCCTAAAAATGTCTCGCAATATGGAAATGCTGAGGTAAATAGAGATCCTGAGGTTATTTGGAGCAACTTTTTCCTTTGCGAAAATGCGATCCGAGGCTTCGTTGGCGAGATATCGACGAAAAACGCTGACCAATCGGACGCGAGCTTGGCTGACGCGCGAGGCCCAGTTCCGCCCTCATTGGCTCGGCCGCCGCGCGCCAGCCGAGCTCGACTGTCATTGGTCGCGGTTTTTCGTCGATAACTCGCGAACGAAGCCGCGGATCACATTTTCGTAAAGGAAAAAGTTGCTTCAAATTACCTCAGGAATCCCCCGGTTTCGGATCGAGAGACATTTTTGGTATGGAAAATCCAGTAATCCAGTGAAGCAAAGGTAGCGAGTCAAATGCGACGTCGCATGATGCAAGAAGATAATTTTGAAATTTGGCCGGCCATATTTAACCAATATAAATTGTAAATGTACAATTTGAGCATGTAAATTGTCGATGTAAATACATAATTTTTCTCCAAGCGTTCGTGTATATGTATTTTTATTGTTCTTTGAAGCGAAAATAAGTTTCTAAAAGAATAATGAATTTAACACTTTTTGCACTATAATATCAATATCTCGGCATCGAATTCAGATCAATTGTGCAAAATTAGATTTCCCAACATTTGTTGCAACAAGCGAACTCGATAACCGAAATATATATTTATAGCTCGGACGTCGTGTAGATGGCTTACCTCTGCTTCAGGGAAATTCTCTAGAGCCGCGTGTTTATACACACATCAAATGCAATAAAACAAATCGTAAAAAGAAAATTCGACAGAGACTCAAGAGACAATGCAATTTGTAACATCTCGAGAACGTCTCGAAAGCGAGAAAACATTTTTGACCTGTCGCGTCCTTGCTTTGCGACCGCGGACGCGCTCTAAGCTAATCGCCCGGAGTCCTCCTCCCCTCCCGGTTACACGCTGTGCTCTGCGTACCCCGTCACGTGAGCCGAGCGCCGATGACGTCACGGCTCGGCCGGGAGCCCAGCGACGGCGGCGTGCCGGAGTGATCGGTGCCCAGGATCTCGCTTCTGTTGCCCTCGTGTTCGTTCGGTGACCGGGAAACTGTTCGCGAATAATTTGCAATTCGACTCGATACCGAGGTAGGGGAAACGTTCAGGCGGTCCGAGTAGACCGTGGCCCGCGCGGTGACGAGACACAATTGTTGTCCGCCAGGTCGGCGACGAATTACGGTTATATAGAGTGTCTTTTTTTTCCGGGCTACTCGGGGACACGTTGGCAAACGATTCTCATTCTCAGAGGACTAAAAATGTCGCCCGGCAGATCCTTACGAGACCAGCTCTCCGTTCAGCTTCCTCTTGGTTCCTTTGCTCTGACTGCCCGGGGCCCAGGGTCACAACGAATGATAATCGCCCAGCACGAGGCCGCTGTGATAAGTGCCGTGGGACGTCGACATGCCCATGGAGCCCATGCCCTGGTACGCCCCCATGCCCATGCCGTTCATCGACATCGTGTTCATCGTGTTCACACCCTGCATCGTGTTCGGCAGCATCGTCGACGGGCCCATCGGGCTCAGCCCACCCATGGAAGGGGCTATAGCACCCATCTGCATCGACGTCGCCGTGTGGGGAAGTGACTTCTGCAGGTCCGCCGAGGTCGGCGTGCCGATCAGGTAATCCTGTAACAGGTGACAGGGGGGCGTTTCCGAATATTAATAATATAATAGTAAATATCTGCTTTCATTGAATTGAATATGAATATTATTATTATATTATTATTATTATTATAAATTATATATATAATATATATATATATATATAATATAGAACAGTGGTGACATCTTAGAACAATAAAAAAAAACGCTGCATGTATACAAAATACAAGCAAACTGTGAATTTTATGCATTTACAACAGAAACTAGCAGATCAAATAAGGAACGACGAGGACATTTTCTAGGATATCTAGAAACAAAAAATAAACAAATACACAACATAACACACCCCTACAAACCATGCAACTTCTGCATACAAAACTATTACTATTATAGTAATATAATAGTATTACTATTATTATTACTATTAGTATTACTGCTATATTACTATAGTATTAGTATTAGTATTACTATATACTTAGAGTATATATATACTATATTAGTAATACTATTAGTATTACTGCTATATTACTATAGTATTAGTATTAGTATTACTATATACTTAGAGTATATATATACTATATTAGTAATACTATTAGTATTACTGCTATATTACTATAGTATTAGTATTAGTATTACTATATACTTAGAGTATATATACTATATTAGTAATACAATAGTAATACTATATATTACTATTATAGCAATATAATAGTAATAGTATATTACAGTAATAAATTAATAATAATAATAATTAAAAGTATAATATATTATAATAATAAAACTCTCATATACTAACTATATTTCATGCAACGCATGCTTTGGAAATCACCCAGACATTCAACTTGCATATAACAACCTACATAAATGAAACATAAGTACAAACAAACTTCTACAGTGCACACATTCAACAACATTTGCATCCACAGAACATGTCACCAGAGGAAAAAACATCAATCACAATGAAACATACAGGCCACAGTTAGGCGAAGAAGACTCGACATTACTGAAACGCGGCACTAACCTGCGGGCTATAGTACTGCATATAGTCCAACTGGCTCTTCTGTTGGGCGCAGCTGGGCGGCGGCGGCGGCAAGGTCGCCGTCGGATGCACCAAGCCGTGCGCGCCGTGCGCGCCGACCTGGAGATGATGCTGTATCTGATGATGAAGGTTCCGCTTGTCGTCGCCGCTCTCGCTGCTGGTGTCGTGGTGCTGCATGTGGTGCGTCGGCGTGTGAGGATGGCTCAAGGTCGAGGCGTGACCTTGATGATACGAGTGAGGACTCGAGACGGAGACGGGCGGCGGCAGCTGATACATGCTCGGCGTCTGCTGGTGCTCCACGATCTGTTGCTGTTGCTGTTGCTGCTGTTGCACCGCGCACGCGGACGGTTGCTGAGGCTGTTGCTGGCCCACCGCCTGCCTCTTCGCCTCGTCGCCGCTCTCGCTGCTCGAGTCGCCGAGCCCGCCGCCGTGGGTCTTGTCCTCCCTTTGGCCGCTGCAACAGACACAAGGACACGGCTTCGTTATGCGAACTCCGATTTTGTTGAAGGCTTTTTGGGGAGCAAGACTGAAGTGGATATATTTGCGAGATTTTTGTGCAGTGCGATAATTAGTTTAACGAGGGGTAATCATCTTCCGATACTCCTCCGTCTAATAAATAATAATTTGTAGACCTAATGTTCGTCTATAGATTAGTATTGCGATATTTTATAAGAACTTTTCGTTTATTTTTATAGTTAGTTTTCAGTTCCGCTAT